AATAATATCCATCTATCCACCCATCTGTTCATCTCTTGACAATTCCAGTATGTAAAATTACAGTGATCTCCCCCCCCCCTCATACACACACAGGGATTACATACATCATTTCAGAGAGTAAAATGGGAATATTCAGCTTGCCAGTCACCACAAGAAAGAAACAGAGGATTGAGCCTGCATCTGCACCATGTCCTCTTGTCTGCTGAGGGAAGAGAATGAATGCTGGTGAACCTCAACTCCTTAAGTCACTGCTGCAGCTCCAGGGCACTGCTCATCTCATTCGCAGGTACAAAATGTTGATGCCTGATACACCTCTCCTTACTCAGTGCTCATGGAGCAGGCAGGGTAGCAGGTTCAGAGGTGCGAGGGGCTGGGCTATGACCACCAACATTAGATCCAGGCTCCTCCACTTGCAAGGTGCTTGACATTAAAGAAGAATGCTCGGTTACCAAGGAGAGTCACCCTGGTCTCACCGGAGATTAAAAGGCTGCACCTGTCAGTGCCTGCCACTTAGTAAGCTCAGCATACTTGTGCAATGAGTATCAGACAGTAGAACTATATGGTGAGCAGAAGATGGCCAGACAGAGCAGGGACACGACTGCTGTCTGCTCCCTGGCAATTTCTATTTAGCAGCTTCTTTTTGAATGCAGGGGACTATTTGACCTATTCCACCTATTCTTTAAGATGTACTTAGAATTTAATTTCCACAATCAAATTCTGAGTTGTCTCAAAATCCTCTGCTATCTAACCTAAGGAGATGAAAAAAGCCCTGCCCCTGTTTCTTTTTTCTCCCCCACCCCCAGGGTGTGTGTGTACATGTATGTGTGAATTGTGTGTGTACATGTGTATGTGTATGTGTGCATGTGTGTTAATGTTTATGGATTTCCAAGATACTAGGACAAGTCAAGGGCCAGAGAAAGGTGATATTAATCAGGAAATCTTATTCTGTCACAAAAAGAGCCAAGACTTAGACAAGTTACTGACAAGCTCTCCTATCCTCCTGCTCAGATCACCACTGCAGACAGTTCTGCTCTGTGCTTTTCTATCTCTGCACACTAAGAACAGTTTCCTTTCCTCTTGAAACTCTCAGCTCCTTGGCCTGGTTGTCATAAAGCAGCCAGTGGCCACCAAGATACCAGAAACAGAGACAGGGGAGAGAAAAGGAAATACAAACAAACACAGCATAGATAAGCCCCCTCCACTGTAACGATTAGGAAACAAATGTGATTCTTAAGGAGATCTATTGTTTGTTCTCATGAGCACATCCCTTCCAACAAATGGGCTAAACACAAGTCATTAACAGTGATTCAGGTTCAGCGAGCTCTTCATGGATGCCTGCTGAAGAGATGGGCTGTGCTGTTCATACACCCCTACTGTAGACAAGAAAACTGAGGCCAGCGTTCGGTAGTCCAATTTAAAGGCAGGCAGTCTAATTCCAGCCTGAGCCTTCTGCAGTTGGCCACTCATCTGCAGCAGAACTGTACGTACCCTTATTTTGCAGGCACTTTCCTTGCAATTTCTTTTGGAACTATGTGTCAACCATATAAGAATGTTTGTCTCAATAATTCCAAATCTTTCCATGTTTTATTTTTAGTCTGCTCAGACCCATTATTTTATTTTACTATAAAAGTAAAAGAAATAAATAAAAAAAAAATAACAGAGACTTTGCCTTCAAGGTGCTGACACCCTTAGATTACCAGTGCTCACTTCAGGCTTCATGGAGTTCAAGCAAGGGAAGTCCCACGAAGCCACTCAATTAGCCCCCAGCCTCCCATCTGCTGTCGTGAGGAATGGCTTGCTCTTACTTTAGTTCACTTCACTTCAAAACATTTACTAAGATTCCATTGGTCCCACAGTAGACCCCGGGGAGAGAGTGGTGTGCAAGGGCTCATGACCATGCAGCTGAAATGGGGCTGCTCCTCACCTATGGAAAGGTCACGCCCCATACGGCCTTGAACCCTGAAAAGATCTTTAAGTCAATGATGCATATCACACATCACACACATCAAAGCTTAGACATATGCACTGTGTGGGTCTCAGAAGCTGGGAACCAGCCTTAAGCCCCCACCCAGAATCTCACAGGTGTAGCCCAAGAAAGGAAAAAGTTCATAACACAGTTCTCACATAACGTGTGCTTCTTCAGTCTTGTCATAGCTAAAAGACCGCACACTGGGAACCACCTGTATAGGTCAGAGCGAGGCAAGATGTGAGAATTGGATCTACAAAGACCCAGGTGAGCAGAGAAACACTGGACACAAGTGGCATCTGAGCAGAGGCCAGAATGAGCAGAGGACGCCAATCTCAAAACTATCTGAAGGAAAGAAGTTCCAGAAATGTGCACTTCGGAGATCTGAAGAAACAGTGAGTGGGGAGGAGAATGCTGATGGAAAATGTCTCAAAATAAAAAAAGAACAGTTTTCTTCAAAGCACATGACTCTTAAGTACTGTTCATAATTATGAGGCCCGCCTCTCCCTGAGGATTTATAGTCAGCTACTGTTTGCTAAGAATGAGGGGCCCAGGAAGCCTCATCACTCTCTGAGGATTCATGGCTGCTGTGAGAAGGAGAGCCATTTATAGCCATTGGTAGGTTGTCCACGCTGCTTTAAGAACCCCTCAGCTCACAGATCACAAAACAAAGACATGAAAGCAGAAAAGACATGAATTGGAAAGTAAAAGAGGATCCACAGATGGAAGGAGGAAATGAAAGGGAGTTGAAGGCAGAATATGATTAAAGTACATTATTTTCCATATATATTCATATATTTGAAAATGTCATAATGAAATCCACTATTATGTACAATTAATAAATGCCAATAAGAGCAAATGAAAGACTGCCCTCAAAACTATTAAATGATAAACACTTTCAGTAAATACCAGGACATAAAACCAACATACAAAAATCAGTAACTTTTCTATATACCAATAATGAACTTGCCAAAAAAGCAAATCAGGAAGAAAACTATTCAAAAAAGCTTCAAGATAATAATAAAACATCAAGTAACCTGACCAAGAAAGGAAAATACCTGTACAATGCACACTTTAAAACACTGCAGAGAGGCTGAAGAGATGACTTAGCAGTTAGGAGCACTTGTGGCTCTTTCAGCCAACCTGGGTTTGGTTCCCAGCTCCCACGTGGTGGGGCACGCCCCTCTCTGTAACTCCAGTTCCAGAGAACCCAGTGCCCCCTCTGGCCTCTGCAGGCACCAGGCACACAGGGTACGTGTGCATAACTTGCAGCAGACACATGAAATAAATTAAGGGGAAAAATGCAGAGTGTGTATGTGTGTGTATTTGTATGAAATTGTGAATTTATCAGCAAGAAAGCCAGAGGAACTGGAGAACATTACAGCCAGCCTTAAAAAGATGGCTAGCACATGTTTCTGTCATGTGCAGAACCTAAATTTGAATGAATGAATGAATGAATGAATGAATGAATGAATGATTGAATGAATGGTGTAAAAATAGAAGGGGGACTATGTAATGAGGAGAAGCCATCTAATAAGAGGGGAGGAACAAGAGGGGGATTGTGGGGTAAAAAAAAAAGTATTTTCTCTCATATGTAGAATATAAATTCAACTCTATATTCATGAATATTTCCATACACACATACACATGATATGAGAACAAAAGGGAGACAATTTAGGGAATAAAGGAGACTAGCAGGCGATGGATGAGGAGACTAGTTGGGACAAGTCTGAGCAAAGTCAAACACATATAACACATGTATAACATATAACACAAGCATGTATATACATATACATAAATCATGAAACAATGAAATCCTACATTTTGTACACTAACTAAAAACCTAGTTCTATTATATTAGAACTCTAAACTTAATTCATGCTCTTGGCAGTAAAAAAGTAATAGCAAATGATGACTGAACTTCAACTCTCTAGCTCATTGTCATATAAATTTCATCTTAAGATCTGCTGAGACTGAATGTATGAATAGTTAATGTTTTGTGACCAAATTATCCCAGGATTAAGCACTGAGTGGGCCTTCCTTGTGCTTAAGAAGTCATCCATGAAGATCTTGAACATGTGCCTAAGAAATGTTGGAAAGATCAGCATCACCTGTCCATCTTCTGTCTATGAGTCAGTTTACAAGGCAAAACACAAGCAGTTCTAGTAAGATAAATAGAAGTCCATCTCTGCAAACCTTTCTCTGAAAGCTTCATGAAGCATCATAGCAAAGCAACGATATTGTTTCCAGGCAAGTTTGCAACATCCTAAAGATCATTTTTAACTCTCTTCCTAGGATTCAATTTATACCAGTTGGTTAGATGGAGGGGGGTGGGGACGGACTGTAGACTTCTTGGTGAGTTGTTAAGTAAGAGTTCAGAATATTTCTATGAGAATGCATTATCTTACTTTCATACATGTTCGCACAGGTAGGGACCATGTGACAAGCCACATAACAATTTCAAGTTGCAAAAACAGCTGGCAAAGGAACCTTCACAGTGCTGGCAATATGCCACAAGTGTCTCTGTTCATCCAAACAGAACACTCACTTACCCAGCCTCTGGGACAGGGGTCAAAGGACTTGCCTCATCATCTACTCACGGTGCGGCAGCATTGGCGCAGTTTCTATCACTGTGCAGCTGCAGGGCAGGTAAGAGAACATAGAGATCCTGCCCCGGGTGGGAAGAAACCAGGTCACTGCCAGCAAGTCCAGGAATGGGATGCCCTCAGCATCCTGTGGGCAGCGCTCACCCTCAGCCATCTCCAGATTGAAGTGTCCAGGACTACGTCAATCAGAAGTTAGAGAAGGTAGTCCCCCCGAAAGGGACAGAGATGGGTTATGAGTGGGCTGCCCCTGCGATCGTTGCTTTAGACACAGTGATACACAACTGTTTTCATGTGACCTACCTAGGAACACAAAAGTTACCAAATGAGCCTCCTGTTCAAGTTCTATTTTCTTTGTAAGCCAAGAATAGTAACAAAAATCCAAAATAGTCAAGTATACTACTTGAGAGCCATAAAGTAATTATCCTTACCAAGAATAGAGGATCGTTCCCACCACAGACGTGAGCTTACTGCTTTCCTGTTTTTGCTTTGCCAGGCCAAAGTCAGCTACAATTCACAAAACAGAGTAACGTGTTACTGTATTACCCCAGGATCCCCAGTCCCTAACTGGACATTTCACAAAGTAACTAGCACATTTCCCAGAAGACCCCTTGTCCCCCACACATACCTTCTTCTGTCTACTCCCAACCTTAGTTTATACACACTCTACACTACTGTGCTTTATATTCTGATATGAGGAGGGTTATCTTTTTAAAACAAGCTAAGGTAAGTCTTGCTAACTAAATCAAATGGAAGTCTTGATTGATCTTGGGATTTTTTTACTTTAAAGTTCTCAAATAAATAAGAAGAATGTAGCATTTTGATACGTAACTGCTGTCAAAGGTACATTGGGGGGAAAAAGAGGTGGGGTGTGATGGCTTAGCCTGTGATCCCAGCATTCAATGGGGCAGAATAGCATGTGCTACTCAATAAGATTTTGTCTCAAAAACAAAACAAAATAAAAAATGAAACGTAAAAGAAGAAAAAGATCAAAACAACTAAAACAGGACAATTGAAATGGTGAAATAATCTTCCGTGTGCTATGATATACTCCTCTTTCATGAACTGCAAGTGTGCAAACTACATGATCATTTTTTAAAATATAATTGGACCTTGGAGAATTGATCCTTGAAGTCCCACAACTGAGAAATTAAGTAGTTCAAGTTAGGAGTTCAAGGCCAGCCTGAGCTACACAGTGAGATCCTGTCTCAAGGAAGGAAATGAAGAAAGGAAGGAAAGAGAAAGGACAGAAAGGGGAAGACGGGGATGAGAGGGTGGTGGAGAAGAAGAAATGAAAAGGGAGGGAAGTAGATGGAAACAGAAAAAACAGTAAAAGTAAAGTAAGCTTGGGCAACCACCATGAGGACTGGAGAACCTAAAATTAAATAACATCCATTGGCACTAACTCACCATATCTGTAAGGAATACCGACTAAAATAGCATAGCATAGCAGTGAAAAGCACAGCAGTAAAATTAAATAATTCAGCACTAAAATTCTACATATAGATTTATGTATGCATATATGTACTTTTGAATATATAGTTTTATATATATCCCATACAGTGTTTAATAACTGCTTGTGGGCAGCTGAAGAAGCCTTAAGTGAATGTGTAGGAGGCAAATGAGGTCCTGAATGAGTGTATATTGTTGACATGGCAACAACCAAGGCTTCAGACCCATGGGAAATTGTCAGTTCCTCCCTGTGGTCCAAGTGCAAATGTTAGTAGTGTGTATAAGTGTGTACTAACAATTGACCAGTGTGTGCAAACCCAGCAATTGTAGCTTCTTCCTCCCAGATATTTCAAGCTCAGACTGCTGCCCACAGAGACCTCTGTCTGTGATTAACCCCTCTTCCTGAGCTCTACAAAATGAACAGTCCAAGGTCAGGACCCTGGGTGCCACTCTATCAGCGTACACAGACCGTCTGACCTAAATTTTTCTGCATCTGTATGTCGGTTTCAATGTCTGTCCTTTCTTCATTCCCTTTCCTCTCTAGTCAGGTTTCTAGGACCAAGTCATGCAAGACATGAAGACTGTTGTTGTTGTTTTTCACTTAACAGGGTCTTCTTTGTCCCAACCTGGCACATAATTCCCTTGAACTTCTGATCTTCCTCCTTTCTCCAAGTGCTGAAATTATGGACATGGACCACCTGCCCAATTTATGGTGAGGTTTGGATTCTGAGCTTTGACATGGAACCTCATTAGCTGAGCCACATAAAAGCCCTAAAATGACATGCTTTTGATTAATTTAGAATTGCACATGTTTATAGGGTGATAGTTCAATAGATATATTGAAATCTCTGTATCATATCCACTAAAATCAAGATAATATATATTTTTCTCACTTTTGATTTAAATAAACTATTGATACATTAAAAACAAAAAATATAAGTCTAAATGGGCTGTTATATTTTGATCTGTGTATACATTATATAATGTTTAAATCAGGCTAAATATATTTATTTGTGGTAGAAATATTTTAAATCTTTTCCTGTAGCCTTCCAAGTTCACAGTAAAAGCAGCCTGGCTTATTTTCTCAGTCCTTCTCTCCCTTCATCTCCTCAGTCTCTGTTCAACACTACCCTTCTCAGTTTATATGAGACTGACATTCTCATATGCCATATACAAATGAGCCCTGTGGCACTTGTATTGCTGTGCCTGATGTATTTCACTGAACAATCTGTGTCTGTCCATGTTGCCATAGGACAGGCAGGATTCTGTTTGTACAGCTGAATAATATTTAACTGTGTATCCAGGCTGTATGTTCTTCACGCATCCATCAGCTGATGGACACCTCGCTGTCTCCATTTCTTATCTGCTTGAACTCTGCTGCAATACACTGAGCACTGCCTGGGAGTGAAATCGCTGGATCAGATTATATGGTAGTACTATTTGTAATGTTTCAAGGAGCTTCCTTAGTGTTTGTGACAATCACTGTGCTAATTTATATTCTGCAGCAGGACTGCCTTCCTCCACTTCCTGGCCAGTGACTGCTACCTTCCCCTCCCAGTGGTGGTGGTGAGGGGGGATTTAAACCACTTGTTTATTTATGTTAAGTTGGTGTTCAAATTTTCCGTTAATCTTTTTGTCATGGTCATTCTCTAACTTGGGTAAAATAATAGTCTTGTGGTTGAGTTTGCATTTTCCTCCAGGTTAGTAATACTGGGCCTTTTAAAAATACCTGCTATTTATCTCTACATGTAAGTAAGAGATGTGTGCTCTCCATGGTTGTTTTGTTTCCCTATTGATTTACAGAGCTCCCCACATGTCCTGGATATTGTCTCCATGGTACATTAATGCTCACCTTATTCCCTCCCACTCTCCAAACATATCATCACTAATAATTATTTCCTGGGCTTTCTGGAAACCTTTCAGTTTGATAAAATCCACGTGTCAGGCTTAGATTTGTTTCCTGTGTTTAGGGTCCTACCCAAAACACCCCAATGTCTTCAAGCATTCCTTCTTTTCTTTTTCTGTTTGTTCATTCCAGATTGGTTTTTGTAATAGTTAAGAATAGAGGTTCTAGTCTTATTCTATTTCAGATATATACTCAACTTTCCCAGAACCATTCATTTTTTTTTCCAAAAGACTGACCTTTCCAAATTGTGTTTTTGTGATCTATATTCTTATCACCTTTGACAAAATCCAGATGTATATAGATATATATGGAGTATAGGTTTCTTTTTACACTCTCAAACTCATTCTACTGAACTGTCTATTTCTATGCCAATACCATGCTGCTTCGATTACTACACCTTTGTAATATATTTTCAAACCCAGTAGTATAATGTACTTATGTAGTATAATGTATATGCAAGGGTCAGCATAAGGTGGATTCTCAAAACTCACTGGCCACCAAGTTCATCCAACTACTCAACACCAGGTACTCTAAGAGATTCTGTCTAAGAAAAAAAGGTGAAGAGTGACTAAGAAAGACAACAGCTGTTGCTCTCTGGCCTACATAAACATTCTGTATACACACATACACACTCGCAGACACACAAACATACAGGAAAGCTACATAATCACTATAGAAAATGCGCAAAGAGCCCCTGGTAGTGTTTACTCCTTTCAGCAGAGGAGAAATACATTGGAAGCTCCTTGATCTCATAAAGGGAATGTATTGGAACTTGTGGCTAACACACTAGTTAAGGTTGAAAGACTGAACACTTTTCTCCTAGTTTTGAAACAAGTCAAAGTATCATTATTTGCAGATGATTTGATAGTATACCTGAGTGACTCCAAAAATTCTACCAGGGAACTCCTACAGCTGATTAACACCTTCAGTAAAGTAGCTGAACACAAAATTAACTCAAAAAAATCAGTAGCCCTCCTGTATACAAAAGACAAAAGGGCTGAGAAAGAAATTAGGGAAACAACACCCTTCACAGTAGCCACAAAGAACATAAAGTACCTTGATGTGAACCTAACCAAGCAAATCAAAAACTTGTATGAAAAAAAATTCCAGTCTCTGAAGAAAGAATTAGAAGAAGATATCAGAAGATGGAAAGATCTCCCATGCTCAAGGCTTGGCAAGATTAGTATAGTAAAAATGGCCATCTTACCAAAAGCAATCTACAGATTCAATGCAATCCCCATCAAATTACCAACACAATTCTTTACAGACCTTGAAAGAAAAATTCTCACCTTCATATGGAACAACAAGAAACCCAGAATTGCTAAAACAATTCTCTACAGTAAAAGATCTTCAGGAGGTATCTCCATCCCTGATCTCAAGCTGTACTATAGAGCAACAATACTAAAAACTGCATGATACTGGCATAGAAACAGACTGGTGGATCAATGGAATCGAATATAAGACCCTGGCATAAATCCACACAATAATGGACACCTGATTTTTGACAAAGATGCCAAACCATTCAATGGAAAACAGACAGCATCTTCAACAAATGGTGCTGGTCTAACTGGATAGCTACATGTAGAAAAATGCAAATAGATCCATACTTATCACCCTGTATAAAACCAAAGTCCAAGTGGATCAAAGACCACAACATAAAACCAGACACACTAAACCACTTTAGAAGAAAAAGTGGGGAAGAGCCTTGAACTCATTGGCACAGGAGACAACTTCCTGAACAGAACACCAACAGCATGGGACCTCATGAAAGTGAAAAGCTTCTGTAAAGCAAAGGACACTGTCGTCAGAACAAAACAACAGCCTACAGATTGGGAAAGGATCTTCACCAACCCTATATCTGACAGAGGAGTAATATCCAGTATATATAAAGAACTCAAGAAGTTAAACAGCAATAAATCAAGTAATCCAATTTAAAAAAGGAGTTCAGAGCTAAACAGAGAATTCTTAATAGAGGAATATCGAATGGCATAGAAACACTTAAAGAAATGCTCAACCTCATTAGCCATCAGGGAAATGCAAATCAAAACAACCCTGAGATTTCACCTTACACTGATCAGAATGGCCAAGATGAAAAACTCAAGTGACAACACATGCTGGAGAGGTTGTAGAGAAAGGGGAACCCTCCTCC